TGCAGCACAGGACATTTTACATACTGCTAAAGCACTAACCTCCTTTGGCTGAATAAACCCACCTCAGAAACTCCAGGAAGATCATTATTATAACAGTATTTATTTATATCCTGCCTTTTTCCCTGTTAGGAACGCAAGATGCACTTGATAGTTTGCAGACCGCCCTCCACAACCAGGGCCAGGAATAGAATCACAGAATGGTAAATAGTGAGGACCCAACGGGTAACTCCCTGCAATGGACGATGTGTGGTTCCAGCACTGCTTTGATTTGCAAATAGAAACTCTCCCCTATTGCCATGCTGGCCTGGCCGGATGAGCCTGAGCATAATTTAACTGGGAAGACGTTTCAGCAGGTAGCCATAGTCATTCCTTGCCTTTCCTTGATCAAGGAGATTCTTCCCTCGCCTCGCCTGCCCGTTCGCAAAGCGGCAGCAGGAGCCGGCGGCCCGTCTGCCCGCATAATGCGTTGTTTATTAGCCCGCGCGCCCTTCTCCGCCTGTAACTCCGTCGGGCCGCCTGCAGCAGCTCGGCTAATACAATGGCGTTTAATAACAATATTCCACTTCTTTAAATACCACGAGTGAGTGAGTGAGCGAGCGAGCAGGCAGGCAGGCCGGCCGGCAGGCGCGGGGCCGAGCTATTCATTATACATGAGCGCAGATACCTAGTTAAATATTTGATAGGAGTTTAGAAAACCCTCGGCGCTCCGCGGCCCCTTTCTGACCGCCGCCGCCCGAGGGGAGGTAACGGAGAGAAGTCAGGGGGGCTGAGGACTTTTCATGCGCGCACAAGATGCTGAAGTTTGAGCCCCGGCGAAGCCCTGAAGGCCGACATGCGCCTGGGACTTCTCCTGGCTGTCGCTGGCCGCCGAGCGGCGCGCTGCAGAGCCAACCTCCTCCCCTTGAATCCGGTGCTTTGCTGAGGAGGAAGCGGGAGAGGAGACTTCGCGCCATCTGGGCGTCGTGGATGTCGCAGCATTTCCAGTTAAGCGAAAGGGGCAATGACTGGGCCTTGGGGCCCGGGTCCCCGTCCGCCCACAGGCTGCGCCCCACACAGTTCTGGGGTCTCTGGGGCTGGCTACTCCTTCTTTCCGCTCTCTCTGCCTGCGTGCTGCTGTGGGAATGATAATGGCCTCCTTCTTCAGGGATGAGCGCCACACTTTGCAAATGAGGAGTTCCACATGCATGATTAATAGAGGCTAAACTAGTCAAAGGAAAGGCCAGGAGGAAGGGGCCGCGCAAGACGCGCTAATGAAGGGGCGACCTTCCAGGTTAAGGAATCAAAGGCAAATATTGCTCTAGATTTAAGTCTCGCCCGTAGTCTATAGACTAAACCCAAACGGAGGCATATGTAAATACTCGGCCGCCGTTTCGAAATCAAAAGGCCCAGAGGGAAGTGGCGCCGGTTCAGTGGGACCGGCTCAGCGGTTCAAGCGGAGATGTTATGTTCTGGGGGTAAGTGGGCATTTCACCAATATACTCAAGGCTCCCGATCAATTGAAGGGAGGGCCGTGGGGGTGCCTGGGAGTCTCCAGTATGAGGTAGGCATTCATCCTCATTTAAAAATCCCAGCACATATTTGTGAATATATATTTTTAATCTACCCTTCCTCCAAGGAGTTCAGGCTGACAGGTGTACATTGCTCTCTACCCCCCACTTTTCATCCTCCCAACCTGTCTGGCTGTGCGTGTCTGTGAGTGTGTAATTGTCCTCTTCTCCACCAAGTCCAGTCCAGCATCCAGACATTGTAGGACAGTCAATACTGTATTCTGTTCCTCACTCTTATTGCATTTATTTATTTGGCGCATATTATATCTTTCTCTCTCACCCCTACTTACTGCTACATGGGGTTCCAGGTGGTCTCCCATCCAGATGCTTACCAGACCCACATCTGCTTAGCTTAGCAAACTGGTAGAGTTACATGTCCTCAGACTTATTTCCTGAGACTGTCACCTGGGAAACCAGCCACTTCTTCTTTGACTTGTGACAAGGGAGCAGCCACTAGGAGAAGCAGCATGCTGTAGTGGTTAGAGTGTTGGATTTTGACTGGGATGGGCTCAGTTCAAATTCCAGCTGAGCAGCAAAGCTTGCTAGGTGAACACGAGCCACTCACTCTCTTCAGTGGTTTCACGTAGATGTCAGACTGGGTGCGGAACAAGATCCTGTCCCAGTTTCTCAACACAGCAGGTTGCTAGTGCTTACCAAGAAGAGAGGGGAAAGGCCTAGGGAGCTTGGCACAGTGTGGTCCGTAATGTTGGCAACACTCTGATGGTCTCAGAACCAAATGCTGCACTGGGTCAAGCTCCTTGTGCCCCTCTCCTTCTCCTCTTGGTAAGCACTAGCAACCCACTGTGTTGCGATGCCGGGAGTGGCCATTAGAATAATAGAATTCTAGAGTTGGAAGGAACCCTGAGGATCATCTAGTCCACCCCCTGCAATGCTGGAATGTGAAACTTGTCACATGGGGGATTGAACAAGCAACCTTGGTGTTATCAGCACCACACTCTATCCAACTGAGCTGTTAGTGGGTGGGGGCTTCATTAGTGGTTGTTGCCTATCTTCCGTTATGTCTGCATATTATGTCCCCAGAATATGATTTACCTGAGGCCTCCCTCCTATGTTCATTAATTTGGTCCCATTAATAAGTGTGACATTTACATTTAATGCTGCCTGGCTACTCTATTAAAGCTACAAAATCAACTCAAATATCTGCCACTCTAATCTGCAGCACTGCATGGCATCCCAGCATCACATGTGGAGCTATATTTGAGTTGCTGGCTGCATCTGATCAAGTCATTCTCTGTGAAGATATGCCTGTAGACATATGCAGACCTAGGAGGTGAGTTCAGCCTGGAAATCCAGGTTCCAGTCGGAGCACAGTGGTTTCTGGAACCAACTCAGAACCTACAACATTTTGGCAAACTCTGTTTCAATAATAATAATAATAATAATAATAATAATAATAATAATAATAATTTATTTATACCCCACCTATCTGGTTGGATTTCCTCAACCACTCTTGGTGGCTTCCAGCAAAATATTAAAATACAATAATTCATCAGATATTAAAAACTTTCCTAAACAGGGCTGCCTTCAGATGTCTTCTAAAAGTCAAATAATTGTTTATTTCTTTGACATCTGGTGGGAGGGCATTCCACAGGGCGGATGCCACTACCAAGAAGGCCCTCTGCTTGGTTCCCTGTAACTTCACTTCTCACAGTGAGGGAACCGTCAGAAGGCCCTCGGCGCTGGACCTCAGTGGCTGGGCCAAACGATGGGGGTGGAGACGCTCCTTCAGGTTTACTGGGCCGAGTCCGTTTAGGGAGGAGCATGGGAGGAGAGGATGGCCTTTGGCCATGGTTGCTAGGTTTTGCTTTGCAAGCCAGGTGGCTTGATAACGTCGCTGACTCCTTGTCATCTTCATGGTCTCAGAGCATGAGCTGAGAGGGCTTGTGCAAACTGAGAAATGTCACCCAAGTACATGATGCTACTGCACGTCCCTGACTGGAGTGGATTGCTGATTGCATTCTAGATTCCATATTGCATCCCACTCCAGAGAATGAATCCATTCCCAACTCCAGCAAAGCTTTTTAGAGCAGAGCTACAAGTGGTGGCGCTCATCTCTTATGTAGATGAATAATCATTGCAGCATATATTTTTAAAAACCATCAAAATTCTGGGCCAAAAAAGCTGCATCCTGCAACCTGTATGTATTATGCAAATCCAGCACAATTGCAAGGATTTGCTTTTGGGCAAGATTTATTTGGCTTCTGTTCATCATAGAGAGAGTAAAAGAGCTATGTGGGGCACTGAAGATGTGCTCGCTGATGACTGAAAATCCTATTCAGATTTTGTCAGATGATTGCTGAAACGATGACGCAGGGCTTCTTTTCTGCACACAGTGCCTGGCTACGGCGCTTAGTCAGTGCCTGGCTGCAATAATGGGCTGGACTTGGGTGAGCATACTGAGGCTCAATCCAGAAAACAGATGAAGGCATTCGGGCGCAATTCTGGGTTTCGCAATGAAGCTGAGGGTGTCCAAAAGAAAGCACTTCTCTTCTGGATAGACAAAAGAAAGTAGATTGGTGGTTGCCAACTTGGATGGCTTTAAAAGAGGATTCATCAAATTCATGGAGGATAAGGATATTCGTGGCTACTGGCCATGATAGCTGTGCTCTGCCTTCACCCTTGGAGGCAGTATGCTGAATATCAGCTGCTGGCAATTGCAAGTGGGAAGATGGCTATTTTGCCTAGGTCCTGCTTGTTGGCTTCCTGGGGACATTGGGTTGGCCACTGAGAACAGGATGCTGGACTAGAAGTGCCAATGGCCTGATCCAGCAGGACACATCTTACGTTGTAACTGTTAGGAGGTGATTCATCTGCTCAGGCAAGTTATGTTCTGGAGGAGGTTGCGCTCATCGTGGACAACCAAGTTTGGAGGTGCTCGTTGATCCATCTTTGTCACTCAAGGCTCCTTCTATCAGCGCCTTCTATCAGCTGCTACCCTACCTGAACAGAGAGAGTGATCTATGGCCTGGTCACCTCTAGCTTCAATTACCACGAGGCATTGTTCACAAGGTTGGCTGTTTTTTAAAATGATTGGTAAGTTTCAGTCGGTATCAATAGGTCTGACTGGGGCTGTGTGTGTGTGTGTGTGTTTTACAAAAACACAATGGTCGCGTTTATTGGTCCATGTGCTTTCTTACAAAACGGAATGGGACACCCATTGCCCCACCCCCACCCCTCAAAGCCACTTGGATGACCAGTGGCTGATGGAATGAGTTGTTACAACAATGGAGATCCCACCCCACCCCAAAGCGTGTAGCTGGGGGAAGGGCGGGCAGAAAGGGAGCAGCAGTGGTGGCAGTTCACATGCTGTGGGACAGTGATGATGCGAGGCCTCCGTAAGTGTGTAGCCCCCTCGTAGCCCTTTGCAAGCCAGAGTCTGACCCTCCAGTGGCCACCCGGTTATTCTTTGGCAATGGCAAATGGCTTCTCCACCTCGATGACGTTGCAGTTGGCAATGGTGATGTCTTTGAGAGGCTTTTCCCGACTATCGGTCTTTGTGTTCTCCACTTTTCTCACTACATCCATCCCTTCCAGGACTTTGCCGAAGACAACATGCTTGCCATCCAGCCATGACGTCTTGACGGTGGTGATGAAGAACTGAGAGCTGTTGGTGTCCTTGCCGGCGTTGGCCATGCTCACCCAGCCAGGCCCATAGTGCTTCACCTTGAAGTTCTCGTCGGGGAAACGGTCCCCGTAGATGCTTTACCTCCTGTTCCATCTCCCGGGTGAAGTCTCCTCCCTGGATCATGAAGTCCTTGATCACACGGTGAAACTTGCTGCCTTTGTAGCCAAACCCTTTCTCTTTTTCTTTTTTTTAAATGATATTTATTAAAAGTTTAAAAATTACAGGAAAAAAACAACAATAAGAAAGAGAGGGAAAAAAATAAAAAAACATATAAAAGCAATACAACAATACAGCAAAAAAGAAAAACAAAGAAGAAACTAAAACAGACATCAAAGAAGAAACTAAAACAGCCAAACCCTTTCTCTCCTGTGGACAAGGCGACAAAATTCTCAACCGTCTTCGGAACTGTCTTTCCAAAAAGGCCGATGACCACTCGGCCCACATCTTCATCCCCGATCCGCAGATCAAAATGCACCTTGGCCGTGACCTTGGGCCCCTTCTTGCGCTCCTCCGCGTGAGTAGCCAGGAAGAGCAGCAGCAGCAGAGAGCCGCCCAGGCCCAGCAAGGCCGCGGCCGCCAGCAGCTTCATCTTCCTCCGCTCACAGCCCCAGCAGCGCCAACCCGGCCACAGAGCCCGCATCCGCCCCCTTCCCCTCTCGCTCGCTCTCGTCCTCCCCTCACTGGGGCTGTGTGTTATAAACATATTGTGCCAGTAGTTTGCTATCTTTGCTGGCTCCCAGTCCATTTTCTCCTGGGCCATATCCAGAAAGTGGTGTTGGGGGATGAGTGTTCATACCCCCGGGTATGAACTTGTGGGGTGCCTCAGGGTTCCATCCTCTCCCCCATGCTTTTTAACATTTATATGAAGCTGCTGGGAGAGATCATCAGGGGGTTTGGGCTGGGTATTTATCAATATGTGGATGATACCCAGCTCTACCTCTCCTTTAAATCAGAATCAGTGAGGGCAGTGAAGGTCCTGTGTGAGTGTCTGGAGGCGGTTGGAGGATGGATGGTGGCTAACAGATCGAGGTTGAATCCTGACAAGACAGAAATACTGTTCTTGGGGGACAGGGGGAGGGCTGGTGTGGGGACTCCCTGGTCCTGAATTGGGTAACTGTTCCCCTGAAGGAGCAGGTGTGCAGCCTGGGAGTCATTTTGGACCCACAGCTGTCCTTGGAGGTGCAGGTCAATTCTGTGTCCAGGGCAGCTGTCTACCAGCTCCATCTGGTACGCAGGCTGAGACCCTACCTGCCCACGGACTGTCTCACCAGAGTGGTGCATGCTCTAGTTATCTCTCTCTTGGACTACTGCAATGCGCTCTACTTGGAGCTACCTTTGAAGGTGACTCGAAATTGCAGTTAATCCAGAATGCGGCAGCTAGACTGGTGACTGGGAGTGGCCGCCAAGACCATATAACACCAGTCCCGAAAAACCTACATTGGCTCCCGGTACATTTCTGAGCACAATTCAAAGTGTTGGTTCTGACCTTTAAAGCCCTAAATGGCCTCAGCCCTGTTGGAAAAATGCTCTGGGGGTGCCTGCAAGCCCCTGGATCTCTGAGTGTCCTCTGGTACGCGCAGCTCTGGAAAAGGCATCTCCCTTCTCTTCCAGTGCACTTCTAGCAACATACATCATATTGATGCATGTACACTAATCTTCTGGCACAACACAGCAAGAAGAGTGAGACATTGTAGAGCTAATCTACTTATTTACACACTATGTACAGACAAAAGCATAATGGCGTCCATTCTCTCCAGCTCTGAGAGAACAAACAAACAAATAAAAGCGAAAGTACAGTGTAATAGTACCCTCAGCAGAAGAGATAAGTGTATTCCTTTCCCAGAGTCGTCCCAGACAGGCATGTGATTTACAACAATCTCATCTGCAGCACTGGATGAGTGAAATTGCTAACATCCCCTGTATACCTGAAGGAGCGTCTCTACCCCCACTGAGGTTCAGTGCTGAGGGCCTTCTGGCAGTTCCCTCACTGCAAGAAGTGAGGTTACAGGGAACCAGGCAGAGGGCCTTCTCGGTAGTGGCACCAGCCCTGTGGAACGTCCTTCCATCAGATGTCAAGGAAAGAAGCAACTATCTTACCTTTAGAAGACATCTGAAAGCAGCCCTGTTTAGGGAAGTTTTTAATGTTTAATGCTGTATCATGTTTTCAATATTCGGCTGGGAACCGCCCAGAGATGGGTGGGGTATAAATAATAAATTATTATTATTATTATTATTATTATTATTCCCAGATCAAAGTGTTGGTTTTGGCCTTCAAAGCCCTTCACAGCTTGGGACCACTGGTGTATCTGAAGGAACACCTCTTCTTTCGTGTAGCTCCTTGAGACTGTCATCCGACAATCTACTCTAAGTGGCCCCTTAGTTGTGGAACGCTCTCCCATCTGACACCTTATTAATGTCCTTCAAAGTGCCATGCAAAGACCTTTTAATTTTCTTGGGCTTTGAAAATTATGTTTATAGTTTGATACTACTTTAAATCTCTGGATTTTAATTTTTCTTCACCTTAGAAGCATATTATCATGGAGTTGGAAGGGATCCTGAGGGTCACCTAGTCCAACCCCCTGCAATGCAGGAATCTCAACACATGGTTCCCCATCAAATTTGAAACCATACCGGACTCAGTTTAGCTTTGCAAATGTGCTAGCAGTTTTAGTGCTTCACCCTTGTTTTAATTGAATTTTGCAGATTCTCTCTTAGTGTTGCTCTAAGTTTTGAAGAATTTTTAAATAGCGATATTGTATTAGCTGTGTTTTGATGTAGTTTTGTTTGTTTCAACCCCTGTAAGCCTCCCAGAGAACTTTGGTTATAGGATGGTCTATAAATCATTAGAATGAATAAGTGTTTCTTTGGCTATTGATTGCTGTTCTCAGGCAGACCTTGGATCCCTGATGCCCTAGTTTTGCCTCATAAAGGCTGATAGGATGTGTTATAGTAGATAACGTCCCACTTGGGCCAAGAAGGCATGACTACACCACAAAGCCCAGACAAGGAAAGGATGGTTGCCAGCCAAATAAAGAGAGGCCCCGCTGAGTATCTCATCAGACCAAGACATCTCAGTCCACGCTCATTTCTCATGCAAGTCCTTTAACAGGCGGTTAATCCCCGTCCAATCTCCCCCACCCGACACAATCCAATTTAATTTAGAGAAAAATCACACAAAGGCTGTAACATCCAGCTTATCCCTTGAAATGCAATCGCTCTGTAGAAAAGAATTAATTTTTAATTCCATCTTAATTACTCGGAGTAATAATCCATTTACACAGACCAGCGCGGTCAGCCACATGCATTCCATCGCTCCGGAGGGCTGGAGTCATGTGACTAATGCCCTTGTCAGCTGACCAGCTGAACTAATCAATCAGAGGCGATTATTATGCCAGGTGCCCTGAGAGAGTCTGGAGCCTTCGATTAGTCCCTTCGGATTGTGCGGCTGCCTCTTCCCCATTGCTCACATTTAATTAGTAATTATTTTGGCACTAAGCAGCCCTGTGAAACTGCCTTTGCTGTGATGACCCAAGCCTTAGCTTTGGACAAATAAACCTTCTCCCTTTAATAGGAACCAGGATTGGGACAATACTATTTCTCTCCTCATCTATCACATCTCTCTACATTGCTCTTTAAACTTGACCACCAGCCTTTGCCATTCTGTTTTTGGATCCTCCAGCTGACCACCTCTGTGAATGTTCTCCCAGGTTCCCTCTCATTCTGCTCTCTTGCTTCTTTGACATGCCGTATTTTGGTTCCTCCAGTTCTCTGCTCACAGACAGGCTGGTAGCTGTGAATGTGATGCAGGCTGATGATTAGGGTCTAAACCAGAACTTTCCAAACTTTTCACGTTAGTGACACACTTTTTAGACATGCAGCATTTCGTGAGGCAGTAATTCAGTTTTACTAGCAAACCAAACCAACCCCCTTCCAGCCCCGGGAGGAGCTTGGGGAGCGTTCACGTGACACACCTACACACTGCAGCCTATACACTAACGTGTCACAACACACAGTTTGGAAAGCTCTGGTCTAAACTGAGCTGAACCTTGTTGCTATAGTTCACACCGGCAGGCCTTCGCTCTGGCAAGCAGCCCTTACCTAAATTAATCGTTGGTGGGCCAGGTTCTGACAGCCATATCTGCATCCCAAACAATCAGCTGTGGTGTTTTTAAAATATAGATGGAAATGCAGAAGGTGTCAGTGCAGCAACCAGTATGGAAGATGTAGCTTTGCCCATTTTTACTTTCTGCCAAGACTGCTGCAGGCATCTCAACTATGATCCAATCCGTGCAGACTGGAAGTCTCCAGCCCCAATACAGGGGGTTGGTTTAGTTCTTCTGACCCTGTTCTTCAATTAGTCTTGCCCCATGCTTTCCCGATTCCACCTGGCTGTTTGCCAAGGGGGATAAATCACATACAAAATGTGTTGGTGCCTTGATCCCACATCCCCATGCATGCTGACAATAACAGTGAAGGGTATCTTGTTAAGGGAGGAAGGGGGCTTGTTCACTGCTCCCCTACCTGGCCTTGCCTGATCCATTGCCCTGTTTGACACTCTTGGGTATAGTCCTTAGAGCCAAAGATAAAAAGCAGACCCACATAGGGTAAAAGATGAGAGGTGGACACAAATCTATTCCTGTGACTGCAATTTATTTTCAAAGTTTTAAATGCTGAATTTAAAATTCCTCCGACGTGCCCTATGACATAATAGTGAAGGGTGGGTAATCAATTGAATCATCACTATCATCTGTGACTAGTATTTCCAACAACACCCCTCCCTTCGGAGCAAGCTGGGGGGGGGGGTTAGTTCAGGGCTGTGGTGGTGGGAGGAGATTTAACCCTTTCTCCACACAGCTTTCCAGTTTCAAAATTTCCCCTAAAGCTACTTTCCTCACAGGGGCAAACATAACCAATAGCCGAATGTGGCTTTGGATGGGGTGAATTAGATCAGGAAAGTACTCTGTGCAGCATTCTCCATTTCTCCCAGGGGTGAGAAGTTCAGCGGCAGTGTTACAGGGTTTACTTTCCTTTGGATGAGAGACAGAGCCCTGGAGAGTAGTGGTGTCTTTGTAATATTTCTGTTATTTACAGGAATACAAGCTGCACACATTGTGGAAACAAATAGCCTCCTACAGCACCAGAGCTACAGCTGTACCTGCACCAGTTGATCTAAACAACAGTGTGGATCTCTGCACTCCCACCAGTCTGATTCCAGGCCAACTAAACCCACAACTCTCTCTCCTACCTGACTGAGACTTTCATAGAACTCAGGAGCTTGCTCATTACATTGTGAGGTTTTGGTTGTTGCTGTTTTTAAAAAAGAGTACTGTCCTAGTAGATTGATTTTGGATTTTCTAATAGACCAAGCAGCTCTGCAGCTTTGCTCTCTGCATCTCTCATATGTCTTCTTCTTTCCTTTCTATCCATGCCTAAGCACTGATTTCAGACCTCCTTGCCATGCAGATAAATTGCCCATTAAGGAAAACATGTCCAATCATTAGCTCTCATTGAGGAAACATTAACCAATCATCCCTGACTAGCAACAAGCAATCAGGTTAACAAAGGATGGACACCCAGAGGCCACAACAACACTAATCCCAGGAACTGGTCTATGGCTGGAAGCACTTTTTCCTGTTGAATTAAAACGTGCTCTGCACTTGCTATGGGTATGTGCATGCAGGAGCAGAGCTGATAAGGGCCAGG